CCCCAGTTACAGAGCAAGTAGCACAGAACTCTAACAGTACCTTCAGGAATTCTCTCCCTCATTAACAATGACTAAGAAGTCAGAAATACATTGCTCCTTCAATATCTTCTCCTTTTGGTACTGCAACATGTCCCTAAATGAATCCCAGTTAATTTAAAGCATCCGGTTCAGATTTTTTGAAATACAATAAATTAACGTTTTTGCAAGCACTGCCAAGTATCCCTATATGGAAACTGTACCTAAAAATTAAAAGATAACTGGATTTTGTTAGTTACTTTTTATTGCAGCCATAGCTTTTCCTATAAGCTTTAGGGAAGCAATGAAAATAGATTAAGCTTGCTAGTTTACCAACCAGATCAACAGCAAAAATGCAGTTTCACTTTTTAAAATGTTGAAAAGAAATCACAGTACAAAACACTTCTATTAATAAAAACTCTCTTAAGAAAGAGACTCAAGATTTTCAGAGAGAAATTCAACCAAATTACAGCTGTCATTCTAATAGACAAGTCCACATTTTCTGAATGGTATTTTTAATATTTTTAAAACACAAAGTTAAACATCTTTTAATTTTGTGGGTCTTACAAAAGAAAGTGCCAGGTTTTTAAAACTATACATGCACAAACATGTGAATATACTGCTCTTGCATGGGCAATCTGGGTAAATGCATGTGCAAACTACCAGTCAGAGCAGTTTAAATGGTCCTTTACATGGGAGTCCTGTGATCTAAAGTGCATCAAAGAAAGCGTGTGTGCATATTTTTGCATGCACACAATTCATGGACATGGAATGGTACGTGCTGCCTGCCTTGCTCTGCAGCAGTAGATATTATTTACAGAGCTGAGCTTTTAAAAAAAAAAAAAACAGAGAAGCTCAATCACCAATAAAAATATTCTGATATGACAAGAATCTTCGTCAAAGTTACTGTCATTTGTATTAAAATTAAAACAATGATATTCAGATGAACTCCATGCAAAATACTCGGAGAAAAGAACAGTTTATCCTTTTTGTTGAGAAAACAATCATTCGGGGAAAGTTTCTAAAATATTACAAAAGCATTAGAAACAAAAACTGGTAAAAACAACCATTTAAATGGTATGATATTATAAGAAGATGCATCTGCTCTCCACTCACCATGACTCTGTAACTAAAAGACTCCAGTGGTTCAAAGGAGCCTGAGAACTTACATGCAACAGTGTGGGTTGTGAAGCATGGAAGAAAAAGGCAATACAGCAATGCAAGAAGATAAAATAGATCATGGAAAATATACTTGTAAGCTAGAAAAGAGCATGCCGATATAACCTGAGATTTGTTTGTCACTACTTAAAGGTAATGATACGAAATGCAAGATTTCAGTGTTAATTCAGCCATCAGCTTTAAACCAAGAAACAAATGAGTGGAACACAAATTGTTTGAACCAAACTTTCAGCAGGGAGGAGGAGACTGTACAATTGTTGCTAGCCTTGCTGTTTCTTACGGGATTCATGTAGCAAGGTAAGTTGAATTTATATTTAACTTTTCTAAGCACAATTTAAATTGCTTAATATTTTGGTTAAGAGAGGTGATGCTCACGTCCATTCAGCATAGGTGTGTGTGCTCGCTACATGCACCGGTGCTGGAAGTTTTTCCTTCAGTAGTATCCGTAGGGGACTGGCTCAGGAGCGGCGCGTGTATACTGTAGTATATAGGGCGCTGCCGGCCCCCTCCATCCTCATTTGCTTCTTGCCAGAAACTCTGACCGTGGGGAAGGAGGACAGATTGTGGAACAGACATGAGCAACACATCTCGAAGAACACCAGTTACGGAAAAAAGTAACTGTCTTTTCTTCTTCGAGTGATTGCTCATGTCCATTCAACTTAGCTGACTCCCAGCAGTACCTATGGGGGCAAGTAAGGAGTTCACAAACATGCAGATTGCAATACAGCTCTGCTGAATCCAGCATCATCCCCAATCTGTTGCGGGATGGCACAGTGGCCATGAACATCTGTACTGAGGGTCATGTCGTGGCTCGACAGATGTCCTGGATCGGGAAGCATGCCAGGAAGGCCACTGAAGCTGCCTGCGCTCTAGTCGAGTGGGCTCTGACGATTGGCGGTGGAGGACTCCCGCTAACTCGTAGCAGGTTCGAATGCAAGAGGTGATCCAGTTAGAAGTCCTTTGCGTGAACACTGGGAGGCCCTTCATTCTATCAGCTGTAGAGATGAAAAGCTGAGTCGACGTACGGAAAGGCTTTGTCCAATCCAGGTAGAAAGCCAGAGTCCTCCTCAGAGTCCAAAGCGTGAAGGTGCCTCTCTTCACTAGTCTCATGGAGCTTAAGGCAGAAGACCGGAAGAAAGATGTCCTTGCTCATGTGGAGAGTACACACTACCTTGGGAAGGAAAGCCGGGTGGGGCCGGAACTAGACCTGGTCCTTATAGAAGGCCGCGTATGGCGGTTCTGAAGTCAGGGTTCATAGCTCGGAGTCTCGCCTTGTTGACATCACTGCCACCAGGAAAACTACCTTCCACAATAGGTGGAAAGGGAGCATGAGGCCAAAGACTCAAAGGGCGGGCCCGTGAGCCTGGACAGAACCAAGCTGAGATCCCACTGAGGGGCTGGGGACCGGACTTGAGGAAAGAGCCTCTCAAGGCCTCTAAGGAACCTGACAGTCATGTCATGGGAGAACACAGTCTGCTCCTGAATTGGTGGATGAAATGCCAAAATGGCCACCAGGTGCACCCGGATAAAGGAGTGCACCAGGCCCTGGTTCCTTAAATGAAGCAGGTAGTCCAAGATCGACTGCACCGAAGAATGAGAAAGGGAGATGCCTCGCTCGGCCGCCCAGTGGGAGAACCTCACCCACTATGCCAGGTAGGTCTGCCTAGTCCAGGGCTTTCTATTCTCAAGGAGGACCTTCTGGACCCCGTCCGAACAGGCCTGTTCATCCGGGTTCAGCCACGCAACATCCATGCTGTGAGGTGGAGGGACGTGAGGTTGGGGTGCAAGAGCTGGCCGTGATCCTGTGACAGCAGGTCCGGTCAGTTCGGCATAAGCCAGGGCGGGATCGCTGACCAGCTTGACAGCATCCCAAACCAGTTCTGGTGAGGCCACAGCGGGGCAATCATGACAAGCTGCGCCTTGTCCCTCTTGATTTTCACTAGGACCTTGCTGATGAGCAGAATCGGAGGAAACGCATGCATCAGGCTTCCTGCCCACAGAAGGAGGAAGGGCATCAGAGAGGGAGCCATTGCCCAGACCCCATCTGGAGCAAAACCGGTGGCACCTCCTGTTCTGCCTGGTGGTGAACAAATCCACTTGGGGAGTTCCCCACCTCTGGAAGATCATGCCGGCTACCTCCCTAGCTAGGGAACCTTGCTCCCACCATTAGGGAACCTTGAGCCAGAGCCCGAGTGGTCGCTCCCCTGCGACCAAGACAGGGCTGATTGGTACTGGTCACCCATCCCAAAGTTGGATGTGGCTGACCTCCATGAGCGTCTGGATTGGGGCCCCGGTGACCAGCGGCATGCAGCGGATCCACAATGACTCCGGGCTGGCGATCTATGCCTCACGAGTGGGGAGAGGGATTGGGAACTAGATGCAGCCACACGTGGTGATGCCACCCTGAGGGATTGGCGACGGTCTGGGGAACGGTACCGTTGGTCCCTTGACCTGTCCTTGGAACGGTACCAGTGCCACGGAGATTCCGGGCGCCGACTGCAAAACTCCTGCCGGGAGGAGTGTACCTCAAGAGGTCTGCTCCCGGTTACTGGCGAGCTGTGCCTCAAGTCTCTCTTCCCTCATCCTAGGTCCGGAGACCGGATGGAGCTATGAAGCTTCTGCCTATTACAGTCAGAAGCGTGTCGGCGGCGAGAGGGTGACCTTTGGGAGGATGTCCCCCATGACGGGGAGTGCTGCCGGAAAGGTGGAGACTGTGGTGGTCCCTACGTGGGTTTACCCTGGGACCGGGACCCCGTAGGGGCTGGAGAGTGTGGCATCGGGAGGGACATAATGTCTTGCGCTGCTTGGAGGGCCTCCAATGTGGACGGCACCTGGAGCTGCCGAGGACCTCCGCCTTTGCAGGCTGGGCTACACCACTCAACCTGAGCTGGGGCCCAGGATCCCGAAGGGGGTGAGGAGGTGCCTGAAACAGGGCCTTTGTCCACCCCAGACTTGTCCTTTCCCTTGTGGGAAGATGGAGACCTTCCTTGCCCCATCTTCCTGGGCTTCTTGGCTGGAGCCACAGAAGGAGGCCAGTGCTGGCTCACATGGGCCTTTTACAGTGATCGCAGGTTTAAAGTCTGGGGACTGGGGCATGCCCCATCCTGAGGCAAAGTCCCTTTAGCAACCTACTAAGTCTCCAACTTAACAAAAAGGTTGAACTAAATTAGAGGGAAACTATATACAGTAATATTTGCAAGAGGCAAAAAAGAGTTTGAACGAACGAAAAGCAACAGCTCTAGCTGAAGCAGCACCAGTTCCATGCACAGTCACTGGCGGAAAGAAGGAACTGAGGGTGGAAGGGACTGGCAACGCCCTATATGCCACGACATATGCGCACCACTCCAGGGGGCGCTAGAGCCGGTCCCCTACACATACTGCTGAGGGAAAAACTTCTGGCACGCACACCTAAGTTGAATGGACATGAGCAATCACTCAAAGAATAAAATCTTCGTATTAATTACCCCATCAAAACATTCCTTTACAAAAATTCAGTTACAGTAGCTAACAAGAGTATCCCAAGATATAACTGAAATCAGATGTTTAACCATTGTGGATGAAATTAATCTTTATTTGCCTCTCACTTGAGCAATGAATAGGGACCATCTCAATATGAAGTTGGCATCTTTTGTACAACCCTCTTCCTGCCTTTTCAGGAGAGAGAGAGAGTGAGAGAGAGAGAGAGAGTACTGAAGGATCTGTGCCCTTCCTGTCTCCTTCCTGAGGGTGTCTGTGTTAGCACACAAGTTTCAGAGAGGAAATATCACATCAATTACCAGTACCAAATTATGAGTCATTTCTATTACCTGAAGCAAGAGCAACAGCTACAGCCTGTTGATTTGCAGAACACAGAATCTGGATACCCAATGGGAGACTTGGGCAGGTGTGTTTCACTGCAGCACTAATGACTGCCATTGCTGCAGTTATTTCTGGCCCAACATAAACGGTGTAAGGAAGGTCATGCATATTTTCCACCATCAAGCCATCCTGTGGAGATTATTATAGAGAAATCTGATTAAATTGAGAAGAGCCATTTCAAATAAATCATAGCTATTTTGATATTAGACAAAGGCTTATATTAAAAAGAAACACTATATTTAAAGGTTTTTCTTCAAAGAAGGGATTATCTACAGTAAATTGTTGATGCAAATACCCACTTGCAAAAATGCTTTAAATCAATATCATATCTGTAATCACAAAATGAAATAAATGTGATTTCAATTACACACTTTGTCAATTAGATTTCCTTTGAATCTGTGCTACAATGCGAACTATAGAGGAACACGTTAAATCATAAATCCAATTTAAAATATATACTGTAGAGTCAAACCTCAATTATTCAGATGGAATAGAGTATATTGAATAAGTTTGGACAATTGCATTTTTAGATAATCAAGAAAATTTTCAAATCAATTAATATCAAGAGACTAAAGTTATTTTGGATAAACAAAGGTTTCTTTTGCGGTTTTTTGGGGTTTGTATTTTTACGGTATCAGTAAAAATGTTTTCAAATGACTAAAATTTGAGGGAGAAGAGGAGGAGTTAAATATCTAGGTATAGTATTTTTAAGGTGCCTATAACTTTGTTATTAAGCTTCAACACTGCTCATATTTTGGATTCAAGGTTGCTTAACAGAAGATGTTGGCTTTTTATTGTCTACTATATGTCTCATTTGGTAGAAACATATATTTGGTAAACAATGGAGTGGCTATAAACTATTTTGCTGATTCAACCTGTGTGATTCATTAAACATCTTTGTACATTATATGAGACAGTGTTGTTTTTTTTAAATCATCAGTATGGTATACATTAGAAAATATTCAATAGCTGAAAATCATATATAATTATGCCCAGGACTAATAAGTTTAAAAATATATCTTGAAAGATCCATTCAAATCTAATGTTTTGCATTCACATAAGGATTCTTAAAAGAATTTTGACCTTCTTAACCTACCTTCACTTAATTCTAAAAGTACAGAAGGGAATCATTTGAAAAAAAAATACATAACTCCTATTTTCTTTACAACTCCATAATTAGGGGAAAGTGAGATTAATTCCCAAGAGATCTTAGCCTATCAAGGGTGTCTTAACTGAACTAAACGTGTTTGGAAGGCACCAGAGACAGCATTTCAACAAAGAAAATTTTACCATAGGGACGATAACAAGTGAAATAATAATCAATGATGGTGCAGCTAATGGTAACTTAAGAATGTAGAACCAGGAAGAAAGACAAATATTTTTAAGGAAATATTACATTTGTATATTTTTTTCATTTTAACAGTATTTTTTAATGCAGAAGCTATTTCTGTAAACAAAAGATACGATATCATAAATGTGCAGCCAGCATGTGATGGCTGAGTTAAAGACTAAACATCCGACATCACAAACAGACACCTAAAATGAAGGAATGGGAACACAAATTTGAGCATTTAAACAGTCTCTTGAAACAGTGTGATAAGACCATATACCTGCACCATACTAAAATAAATATGATGGAGAATAACATAATAGGATACTGCTGATGTCCCCAGGTGACTAACAGTTAAATACCTAGACAAATAGGAGACACATCTCCTTAGAGGCAACAGGTCACACTTTTATTAGTTGGCTAACAAATGGTTACTCAGCAATGGACCTAGTCCGAAAGCTCAAACAAATTAATGGAGCCATTCACTATTTGATGTTTCCTCACTGGGAGGACTCAGCTTTGCAAGTCAAGGATCCCCCAACCACCTAATCTCCCATGAGAAACAGTATGGGTATTGATAAAGAAACCTCAAATCTGTTCTTAATCATGCCCAATTCAACTGCACAACCAAACAGCTTAACACCTTCACTTCTCATCCTGTGCTCACACTGTGGGATAAAGGTGACTGACTAACCATCAATCACCATTTGGGACTCTCAGAATTATACAATTAAAACATTCCATAAAAATCTCTGGGATGCAGCAAATAATTGCTCCAGAAATCCCAACTTGATCAAATGTTTTCTAGTCTACTCATTCAAGAAAGCCTGCTGAACCCAGCTGATGTCAAAGGAAAGATAAATCTCTCTCTCACACACACACACGTCAAAGTCCCAAAGTTGCTGATTTGTAGAGCCGTGCAACTCCAATTTGCAAAGGATTTAAGATATTTCAAAATTTGTTCTGATCTGGATTTATTCAAATTTCAAAACTCTCTTCAAAAACAGACTGGAGTCCCAACTCTGGGGCAGTCTTCTCAGTGGGCTGTCCCAGAGCTACAGACCCTGAAAGCTCTGGTACCCTGGCTGAGTCTACCTTGCTGAGCCAGGAACCTTGTAAGTTGGGATTTGAAAACCCGAAGAAGACCCATTCCATGGTACTCTGCCAGGCAAGCTATGGAAGGACCAAAGAGCCTGGGAGTTTAGGAGCTGGGGCTCCCAATGCTTACAGGCTCTTGGAAAAAATGAGGAGTCTGGAAGCCTGGGCTGCTGAAAAAGCAGGTGGATGAGCTGGTAGGAAACCAGAAATTTCTCCATTGCAAATTTGTCAAAGTCTCTGCAAAAAGTTTTTCAATTTTCACAATTGGCATTCTCTGACCAAAAAATGTTCCATCAAAGAACTTCTGACCAGCTCTATGGGTCAGTTTACTTTTTTTTTTTTTAAATAGTCTGGCCATGGCAGAAAGGGTCTTGTGCATGAAACAAAAACTGCTTGTACTGAAATGCTACTGGCACCGTCGCTCTTTGCTTAGCATGGCGTATACGCTGCTGAGTTCTTGGACGGCTGCTCAGTCCAACGCGCACGTGACAGTCCCATCCTCAAGTAGGGCATACCTACGCGCTAGCAACGCTCTGAATCCGAGCAGCAGATTCTTTCCTCCTCTGACGCTGCTCATCACAAAGCTCGATCCAGTCCGCCTCACAATGCATCACCCCGTCTACAAGCCAACCAGAACGGCATTTCCCAATCATCCACAGAGATTTCAAAGGATACTAAATCATCCTTGCAAGCACCCTGAAATCTATGCAGCGGTCTGCCTCTCTTTTTAGACCCTTTGTAATCTTTAGAGCACAGCACACGCTTTGGGATCCAGTTATCCGGCATTCGGTTGACATGTCCAAGCCATCTTCGTCTTCTTTACTGATCAACGTTGCCATGAATGACATACCAGCACAATTGAACACTTCCATATTTATCAGCCTGTCTTGTGATTTTATTTGAAGAATTTTACACAGGCATCTGATATGAAAACTGTTTAGTCTTTTGATATATTTGATGTAAGTTGTCCATGTTTCTAATCCATATAGAAGAGTGGATAAAGCATATCTCAGAAATACAGATTTTCACTATAGTTTGACAATTTGTTATTGTTCCAGGCTCTGTCTTGCAAAAGACCAAAGTTCCTGGGCTGCTTTGCCGATTTTACTGGTCAGTTCAGCATCAAGATCTACACTGCTGGTAACAGTAGAGCCAATGTAGCAAAGTTGGTCAACAACATCCAGATGAATACCATTTAAGATGATATCTGGAATGGGTTCTGAAGAGGCTTGGTGCATGATAGGTCTTCTTCAAGCTTACTGTTAGCCCAAAGATTTTGCATGAAACAGAGAACTCAGTAATAAGATGTAGGGCATCAACACTGTGAGCCACAAGGGCGGCATCATCTGCACACATGAAATGCAGCCTTGCACTAAACTCTGATCCATCACGAAGCAGATAACAGCCACCAAGAGGAACCAGAAGGTGGACAACAGATAAAATGTAGAAGGATTCCTTGCTCCCACTGGCAGCATCATATCTACCTGCAAAAATGGTGAGGCAGTCACCTTGGGCAAGCAGATTCCAAACCCTCCAATCTCACAGAAGGCCTTTTCCCGGATCACAGGCAATGAGGTGGCTGCCCACTGCGCGATTCAAGTCACCTGCCAGAACCTTGGGCACAACAAAAATTATCACCATGGAGGGAGAAATTATGCTATGAGATTTTTATTTGCCTGAGCAGTAGGAGGGCAAAAGTCCACACAGTTTTAAGAATAACTAATATAAAAGACCCTATAACCCAAAGGCAAAAACCAACCCCCATTTATGTTAAGAGTTTATATTGTCGTACAGGAAGTAGAAGCTAATAGAGCTGTAATAGTAATAATTTATTGTGTGTGTATGCATCATTCGAGAGGCGAAAAGGACCCAAGCCAGTGGTTGTTTGTGGGGTTTTTGTTTATAATTAAAAAATATTATAGATACTTAGAACTCATGAGATGGGAATTCTCTTCTTCATCCCAGAGTTACAGGAAAGTCTCCTCTTCACTTCAGAGTTACAGCAGAAGTGCTAGAACTCCTATCCTCCCAGGGTAAGAAGCCCCCGCTCCCATATTGCTATTGTGGTAGGAAGGAGTTCCTAAGTCCTGACCACTGCTATGGAATAAGAAAAGAAGCATTAGTTCAATGAGCCCAACATCAGTGTCTCCTATCCCCCTCTCAATTCCACCCAAGATCCGTTAGCCAGTCTCACAATATACTCGCCACCAACAAACAGCCTGGGAAGATGCACTGCTTTGTGTATGCACTGGCCAGCCTCAATCCACTCCACAAGATCATTCTCAAGAACCATAAAACAATCAGGAAGAACAGTGTCTATGGCTGCCCCTATGACTGCTCCTATGAAGAGAGCAGACTTGAGGGACTGGACTGTGTTGCTGGCATTTCACAGTAGCTTCGGAGAAGAGAGGAAGCAGACTATGTGCTGACCCACAGTTTGAGAGGGAAGTCATAGAGGGCTATGTCTAGGCCTCAAATTAATGCTGTCCACACTGTGCTTCATGATAGAAAAAAATATATACTGAATAGCACAAGTGGTAATTTTTGATTGTGTGGTTTGTAGACACACAGTAGATTAGGTTACCTAGAGAATACAAATATTTTATATTGATAACAGTCTGGACAGAAAATTATCATTAAAATTATTTATGAAAACTTTTGAAAATTTTCTATGAGCATTAAAAAAATAGTATGTCTTTTA